CACACCAGATTAAAATTGGCACATTAGAGAAGAGGGAGTGGAATAACCAATAATATAAGAGATGATGAAGTGTAAACTAAAACTACGTTAGAATACCAACTTCACGCTCACAAAGATTGTCAAAAATAAAAACGTCTGATTGCAGTAAGTTGCTAAGGATAAAACATCCATCAGAGCTCTGGGGTGGGGGTTGCTTCAGCCACCTGGGAAAACAAATTGGTGATGTCTAATCATTGAAAGTATGCATACCCTTTGAACTAACACCCCAAGTATGCTTTGGGGGGGATACTAGAGATCAAACTCATGACCTCGTGCTTGCGAGGCAGGCAGCAGTAGCACTCACCTAAATCCCTGGCCCCTCAAGTATGTATTCTAGATCAGAAAGTGGTGTGATGAGGGCTGGGGATTTAGCTCATTGGCACCGCGCCTGCCTCTCAAGCACAAAGTCTCTGAGTTCGATCCCAGTACATGGGGTGGGGGGTGGGGGGAGAAAGAGGAAGGAAGGAAAGAATGGTGTGATGATTCATAAGTTGAGAATAGATTTTAAAAATTCATTTTTAAATGATTGAAAAAAATAAAAATAACTTATAGTTTGTAATGTGAAAATTATATGGAATTCAAATTTTAGTGACCATAAATTCTTAGAATATTGTCACAGTCATTTAGCTGCTTTCATAGTACCATATAAGACTCAAGTATTTGCAGGGGATTATGTGGCCCACAAAACCAAAAATCTTACCATCTAGCCCTTTGCCAAAAGAATTTGCCAGTCTCTGAACTCTAAATAAATATTCTTAACGTGTACCAGTAACATGTTCAGTTATGGGTGTTATCATACTGCTTGTAATAGCAGAAACCTAGAGAGAACCAAATGTCTATTAAAAGTAGTGAAACCCCATGGTATGTTAAGTTGATAGAATATTATTAAGTAGTGAAAATGAATTGACAATAGCTACATGCAACATATGGGTAAATTTCAGGAACAGTGTTAGGAAAAAAAAGCAAGTCTCAGCATTTCCCATGTATAGATAGTTTAGAAATAAATGGAATTAAAACATTGTTAATAATGTAAGTGGAGTTAAACTCAGGACAAAGAAAGGTAGTAATTTCAGAATAGGGTTTACCTTTGAGGAGCTGGGAAAGGAATGAGACTGGGGAGGGAACTTCAGAGATTATGTTCCTACCGGTGTGGTGTGTTGTGATCATTTATTTCTATGACAAGTTTTATACGTACTCTAGATTTTTTATGATCAGTAGAGGGGAGAGAAAACTCGTCAGTGCACCAGAAGCTTGATTTTGCTTATAGAATCCCAACCTCCTTGCCTCCCAAAGGTCACCTCCTAGGCATTTTGGTTTTGTCAGGAGCCCAGTTCAGACTCTTAAGCAGAAAAAGAGGATTGATAGGATTCTTAGTTGATCAAAAAAGCTGAGCAACAGTCAAGGACCTGGTCACCATTACAATACTCTGCCTCTCATTTTGTGTGGTCCTGCTTAGTCCTAAATTTGACAAAAGGTGACCTTTTCCACACAGTGAGCAGTGTGACTGATGGTCTCCCAGGTCTGTAACTTAAGAGGTCAAGGAGTTAGGTTCTGTGGTTGGCCTGGATAGGTCACTTGACTACTGGATTTGTTACTTGAAGAAACCCTGGAAAGAGGGTAAGAGACAGGAACAAGGCCCAGTCATGAGTCAAGTTCATATCTGTTCTATGTCTGTTCTCTTAAGTGCAAAACAATGTGGCCTTTTAAAAATACCTTTGTGGATATTAGGCCTATTTTGAAGCGAGCAAAGTGAGCAGTAAAATGTTATGTTGCCCAAGACTTACTACTCAGTGATTATTATGGGAACTGGTTAAAAATGTCTATTGAGCATATTATTTGTTTAAAAATAAATATATAGCCTTATTTCAGTCAAAATATGTAATACAAACTTGCTTTAAAACATGGTAAATCTATTCTCAGTTTCTGAGAGGAATAATAGTGTTTAACTGGGATGTGAGTTTATCCTTTTCTGTATTGCCAGGTTCATTGTATTGCACATATATCACTTTATAAATAGGAAAAAATCATAAACTTTAAAGATATTCCAAGAAGTTTCGTTTATTACCTTAGGAATTGGTATACTAATTAAAGTATCAGACTTTATTTGCCCTGAGTGGGAATAGTTGAATCTTTAACAGTTTATACCATCAGTAATACCAAATAACACCAAATAATAAGTTTGTTCTCCTGACTTCTAAACTTGGATAATACCTGAGAAAATGCTACTAATGATAATTTATTGATAGGTTGCTGAGTAGTGTCTTAACTGTATAGATGTACAAGTTGGACACTCTAATATAAATCCAAAGTGCTCTGAATTTAGAAATTTGATTGCCAGTGTGGCACTCAAAAAACTTCAGATTGCTAGGCGTGGTGGTGCACGCCTATAATCCCAGCACTCGGGAGGCTGAGGCAGGAGGATCACTGTGAGTTTGACAGTCTGGGCTACATAGTGAGTTCCAGGTCAGTTTCAACATAGTGAGACTCTGTTATCAAAAAACCA